AGATTAAAATGGTTTATGGTGACAATCGGAGTTTGAGTTCGGGAATTGAAGAAAATAACCAAAGCGAATGTCTTGGTAATAGATTAATATTTTATTGTATTCGTTTTAATCGAAATTATGTTCATTATGATGTGTTGTGTTTTTTGTAGTTCATATTGTGTTGATAGCTTTTTCTTTAATTATTAATACATACTTAATTCACATGTTCAAATGGAATTCCATGCACGACCCATTTTCATATGGTCATATAACCGACTTTTATGAATCATGAACCATTGTGTTCATGTTACTACTAGGCATGGCAACTGGGCGGGGATGGGGCGGGTTTTGTAATCCCCGGCCTCGGCCCCGGTTTGTAGTAACGTCCCCCGGCTGGTACGGGGATTGTCATCCCGTCCCCGGTCAAATCTCTAGCAATCCCCGGTCAATCCCATGTCAAACCCCATAAATAATATCTTTTAGTTTGAGTCTACCGGGGATCCCCGGCCCCGGTTTGAGTCTACCGGGGAATCCCCGTCCCCGTTTGGGCACGGTGAAACCGGTTCTCCACCCGGGTCGGGGCAAATCACCATCCCTAGTTACTACACTCATTTGAGTATATATATATATATATATATATATATATAACATTTCATGGATAAAATTTTGTGTCATATGAACACAAGTGTCATTTTTGAAGCTTGATCCCAAATCTTTATATTTGTGTAAGTGATTACACATGGTGTTCATATACATCAATGTTGTAAGTGATTGACTTGGTGTTCATATGATGGGTGTTATGTGTTCATATATTTTCTACGATATTCTCTTCCTATGTGGCTTCATTAGGTTCTCAGTTGTATATGTTCATGTTAATGACCCCCCATCATATGAATATTTATTTATGTTAGTGATCTCACCTGCTGTTCAGATATGTTCATATAAACTTACCAAGTTGTTGGTTAAAAATTTGCTCCCAAATCTTTATATAAGCACCGTTCTTGCATCTGGTGTTCATATATGTCAAATTGTGTAAGTAATTGCACCTGGTGTTCATAGTATGGGGGTTATGTGTGCATATATGAACATACGATGTTCTCTTTCTATGTGGCTTGATCATGTTCACAATTTGTTCATATGCGTTCATGTCAATTATTTTCGTCTATGAACAGCTTGTGAACTCGAACCAAATAGATCTCACTTGTTGTTCATATAGGTTCACATAACTCATCTCATGGTCATTAATGATTGATCTAACTCGCACCAAATAAATATATACACAATTTGTTCATATATGTGCATGTCAATTATTTTAGTTTATGAACAGCTTGTGAACTCGAACCAAATAGATCTCACCTGTTGTTTATATATGTTCACATTAATCATCTCATGGTCATTAATGATTGCTCTAACTCGCACCAAATAAATCTATTTTCTGGTTGTTTCAATTGATTACTCCAGTTATGTAATATTAATGTTCATTGATTTTACTAACTATGATGGTATCAACAGGTGTTCACATACTTACACCCTCCGAACATGAAACGAAGTACGATGTCGGAGAGTGTTCAAATGAAAGCAAGTATTTTATCCCCAATGTTGATGACGAGCTTAAACCAAAGATCAACGCACAATTTGTATCTATAAATGAAACATAAAAGATGTACAAGACGTACGTGGACAATGTCAAGTTTGATGTTCGTCTTCATGCCAAAAAAACAAACAAGAATGGAGACATACAAACAAGATGGTTTGTATGTAGTAAGAAGGGAATACCAAATAAAAAGTATTTTGATTCTATGGTTCTTCAGTCCGGCGAGTGGAGATAACGTAATACGAACCTTAAACGGTGTGGATGCAATGCATGTATAAAACTCCATTGGACAAATAATGAAGGAACCATTGTTAACAAGTTGTTCATATTGTGTTCATACTTGTTCTTTTATTTATTTCATTTCGTGTAGCAGTTATTCTTATTATGTTTATATTGTGTTCATAAATGTTACACAGTCCAAGTTCATATATATGTCAAATGTATTTGACACAATGGTTCATATATATATATATATATATATATATATATAGTTGTATTCATATGGTTCTTATATTAACAAAAATAAATTAACTAAAATCATGAGATTTTTTGATTTTGTAACTCCCAATTAATGATATGGGAGTTATATAAAAAAAATTATCTAAATAACCTTTTCAACTTTGTTCACTTATCTTTATGAAATTTTAAATTTAAAAAAAATAATTTTTTATTATGATTAATCACAAACGTTTATTGAAATATTCAATGGCCAAGATCGGTTAACAGAGTTAACATAAAAACTTTGGTTAACTTGGCCCTGTATAATATGTGTGTATGTGTGTGTGTGTGTGTGTGTGTGTATATATATATATATATATATATGGAAGGGTTCAAACGAGAACCCTTGTGATTTGCGAAAACGCGAAAACAACCTATTAACCTCATATTGTGATAATCATGTGATATCATTATTATAACATCACTTGCGCACTCAGTTTGATCATGGTTTCGATCGGTTAGGGTTAGACAATCACACATTTATCACAACGATTACTCATGGTTCGATAAGTTATTGTTACACTCGATTGATCATGGTTTCGATAAGTTATGGTTACACAATCACACAATTATCACAARGAAAGATAAGAGAGTGGAAATGAACGTGCATGAAAAAAAGGGATATTTATAATTAATTAAAATAAAATAAAAAATTATAAAAATTACTTAATTACATTATTGCCCTTATTAATTTATTTATATTTAATATAAGTTAATTTATTAATTTAAAAAGTTTGAGTTTATTGGGTTGTTCTTTCATTCTCATAAATCACAAGGGTTCTTATTTAATTTACGAGAATGCAAGAACAACCTATAAATCAAGTAGTGTGATTTAAATAAAATTTAAAGGATTTTTTTATTTAAATTAATATTAAAAAGATTCAAAAATATCTAAGATGTGAAAGGGTAAAATTGAAAATTGAAATGACAACATGCAAATAACACGATCACAACAACTCCGATTATCAGGAAAGTGATAACAATCAAAAGCATTACTCCACAGAAAGCAGATTGGAGGAAGAATGTTGGACTTCGTTTTGACATGAGAAAGAAGGTCGCGAAGTTAATTGATTCAAGGTTTACTTATCACATGTTTATCACTCTTTGGAATGTGTCGATTTGCAAATTACTTAATACCATAAAAACTATAATAAATAACAAATAAATAAGTATTTATCGGAAAAAATATATATTATTTTAAAATAAGTGATCAATGGTCGTGTTCTCTTTCCACACTGTCAAGTACTTTATAATATTAGAAGAGTGCTCGCATAATGCAGCAAGATATATCTCAATTTTAATGTTTCATTTTATTATTTATTTCTGTCGATATAATACGGTTTTTAGTGGTTTTGAAAAAGCAATAATATTTATATTTTTGAATAAAATATAAATTTAAAAATATCATAAAATTTTGAAAAAATATATCTATACTATATTATACAGCATTTGACAAAAACTCTTAAAAACCATTTTTTTTATGCATGAACTTTGTATATTGATGCATATTACTTAAAATTCAAGATTACAAGTAAATTATTCATAAGTACAACTTATTAAAGCTTCATGTTTGAATTCGTGTAACTAACTGCGGATAAACATAATCAAATAGATGATAAACATTTCATTTTAAMATATAAAAATCTAAAATATAATTAGGATAATTATCGAGTTCTAACAAAATAATTAATTATTATCTTTATAAGAAAATTATATTGTTAAATCAAATATAAATTACTTCGTTATTGAACATAAATTAAATTACAATAAAAAATTACACAAAAAATAGAAATTTTAAATAGTTAGTTTGATACTAATATCGATATATTTTTGTCAAATTTTTATGATATCTTCAAATTTATATTTTATTTAAAAATAAAAAATCATCATTTTTTCAAAATCACATGAGATCATACTATAACACCGACTAAAATAAAGAAAAAAATAAAATATTAAAATCAAGATGTATCTCACTGCATTGCGCGAGTATCCTTCTACTGTATTACACAAAAAAACAAAAAGTTTAAATAGTAAATTTGATATTGATATCGATATATATATATATATATATATATATATATATATATATGTGGATTCAAATAAAAATCACTCAATTTATAAAAACCGTGAAAACTTCATTCAACCAATCATAATTTTTCATTTTCTTCATTTTTTTGTAATTATGAGAGGTTGATTAACCATTTTTATTATGGACGGTGTTAATCATGGATATTATCATCTTCATTATTTTAATTTTAGAGAAATACATGAAACAGTTTCATTAAAATTTCATTAAGTAGTATATAAAACAATTTCATAACCACATATGAAACAACTTCATCAAAAAAAAAGTATTATATGAAACAATTTCACAAGATTAACAATTTCATGAAAAAATTTCATAAGATTAATGATGGATGAGAGTAATTTTTACGGTTTTTACAAATTGGAGTGATTTTCATTTGATCGTTTCTCTCTCTCTCTCTCTCTATATATATATATATATATCAAATAGTAGACTTGGGATCATGTGAGACCAATGATTTTTTGTGAGACCTGTAAGATCAATTATCAACCATTGGATTAGATTTGCAATCGTCAGATCTGAACATTCATAAACGCCACGAGACTTCTCAATAATTACAAAATTGCCACCTTGCAACTTTAGACCGTTAGATCATAAGTTTATAATGTTGATCAATGAACATAAGTTGGTCTTATGAGTTTCACGAAAAACCCTTGATTTCACGTGAACCCAACCTTCAAATAGTATGCATCAACAAATAATATTTACGTATAAAAATGGTTTTTAAATATTTATAAAATGATTTATAATATAGTATAGATATAAGTTATTACATATATTGTTGTATTGTACCCTTATATATCTTTGTCTATGTTCAAACTTCCAACTTACGCAAACTATCCAATGAACCAAGATGGTCTGCAGCCACCGGTCGCCACCACTTCTCGTCGTCAACCACCCATTGATCCGGCGATCGTCATTATCTTCTTCGTTATCCTTTTTTTGCTCTTCCTCCTCCCTCCACCCGTATCACATATCAAACCAACTCCTTTCAAATCTTTCTGGGATTACTTTATCGTTTTCCTCTTCTTGTTTGCCATTCTTTCCGGCGTTTTGGCTCATATAAATGACGTATCGTCCATGCCCAACGTTACCGTTCCGTATCACGATCGGAAGGTGCAGGTTAATGGTGATTTCAGCAGCAGCAGCAGCAGCAGCAACAGTGATAATCTGGTGCGGTTTTCCAATGATTTTGGGGTCGGTACACAGTATCCTTCGACGGTTAACAACCATTCACGATGGACAGAAGGGAGAAAAGAGAATATTTATCGACCTGAACCAGTCTCCTGTGACGTCCGCCTCCATCCTCGGCGGCGTGAGGCAGGGAAAGTGTATTATCGAAGTATTGAGGTCGTTCCAAATGTGCCAGAACAACGTCAATCGCCGAAACGAGCACGTTCTCCTCCACCACCAGCTCGAGATCCGGCTCCACCAGTTTCCGTCAAGTCAAGAAATCGCCGAACCTCCAGAAGTGTAAAGCAGGTTCGACTGGCTGAAACCGTTCAAGTTACAAACCAAATTAAGGGGATACACGAAGTATCCCACATTCCTCCACCTACGCCGTCGCCATCAGAAAACAGTAACGAACTTGATCGGGAAGCAAGAGAGTCTAAGAAGGAAATGGCTCCGACGATAGTTTCACTGGATGATCAGAAGAAGAAAAACCGAAAGAAGAGACAGAAATCAAGAGATATGGAGAAGACGCCACCACCTCCCCCTTCGTCTATGTTCCGGAAAATGTTCAAAAAAGTAAGAAAACCTAAAGGAATTCACACTGTTCCTGCAACAGCACCACCGCCGCCGCCACCTCCTCCGCCACCTAGGTCCATTTTCAACACCTTATTCAAGTCCGGCGGTAAAAGCAAGCGATTTCCTCCGTCACACATCCCTCCGCCACAGCCACATCCACCCCTCCCGTCTTTAACCAACAATAGTTTTTCTAAAACTGTAACAAAAAGCAACCGTTCCAATCCTTCCTCCGCCGCTTTATCACCGCAGTCCACCGTTCAACCTCCATTTAAGCGTACTATCCCAATTCAACCTCCATCTCCACCGTCGCTCCGCCGACGTCCGGCGAGCACACACAAACCGCCTCTACCAACAAAAGCAAGCAATCCCCATGACCGTGACGATTTCCTTTCCAGCGCCTCACAGTCGCCGTGGAATCCAATTCAACCTCCATATCAACCGTCAGAACCTCTCCGCCGACGTCCGTCAAGCACACACAAACCGCCTCTACCAACAAAAGCAAGCAATCACCATGACAGTGACGAATTCCTTTCCAGCAGCTCACAGTCGTCGCCGGTTCCACTCCCACCCCCTCCGCCGCCGTTCAAGTTGCCGGCAATGACATTCGAACTCCGCGGGAATTATGTTAGGCAACGGAGCGTCCATAGTTCCGATTTCAGTTCACCAGATCGTGATGATCTCCGGTCAAGTAAAATCGACGGTGGAGATTCATTTGGGCCCAGCCCAATATCTTCTCGTAGCCCAGACGTCAACCCGAAGGCTGATAGTTTCATATCCAGGCAAAAATATGAATGGAGAACCCAAAAGTAAAGAAAATGGGCCCCGGCCCAAAATCGAGCTATTTAATTATGTGAAATTCCACTTTTACCCCCATACCAATTACTGTTACCAACAATAAAGCAAACTCATTTGAGATGTCTTGCACTTCTATCTTATGTAAAACTTGTTTTTTCATTTTCAGCTCTTAATTATTATTTATGTTTGATTTGTTTAGACGTTTTGTAATTTATATTGTTTGTCTTTAAGATTTCTTTCTCCACCAGGGATGTCACCGTCTTTTCATCACCCATATAAAATGCACGCCCCATACCCTTGACATTTGTGCAACCAATACATCACAATCTCAACCGTCCATTTCATTTTATTGATATGTGATTTCATAGAAGTATTGATTGTTTTCTAATATAAAGTATTGATCATAATTAATAAACCATATTCATCTTCCATAAATATTCAAATCATAATAAATGAACTCTCATCATTTCCATAAATATCTCAATTTATTGGGTTGCATTAGTTGTACAAATGTGATGGGTTGTATTTGAAACAAACACTATATATATATATATATATATATATATATATATATATATATAAAATTTATGTACAATATAGGTTAACTTAAAAGATTAAGGTGAAACAAGAACTTCTATCGGTGATCTATCATATATTAAAAGTATCGATCTTTCCGCAAACAAACTCGCCTGCGGCATTCCCGATAGCATCGGAAGTCTGAAAGGTATCCAAAAGGTTCTTATTTTGTTTCATCTGTTAAGCAATTGTTGAGGTGAATTTCGGCAATGGAAATTTTATGAAAATGAAGAGAATTTTACAAAATATTTGCACCTGATTTTTACAAAAACAAATTGTTGATTAAGATTTCACACTCCAGGCACCTCTTATTAATCAGAAGTGAAATAAGACTCCAGACGTCAACACATTTTATAAAACAAACTCCACTTTATAATTTGATATCCCTCCTTACACTGTTTGTCGATGTCGTATATTTTTGTGAGTCCCATCCCATGTATAATATAAGTTAAATAAATATGTACATATGAATTATACTGGATTTAAAAATCAAGAAAAATATAAAAAAAAATTAGCAAAATTGTCACTTCAAACCAATTTCGAGTCAAGAACCAAGGTTTTTACACAAGAACTAAAAACTCGCTACAATGTTGGTTTTTTGCAAGAAACTACACTTTTTGCTTATAAAAAACTTCCATAGAGAATTCTCTTATATTTATAAAAAATTACTACACTTGATCTACACCCGGTAAAAAATGCGATTTGTCATGCTCTTATTTGCCATTCTCGCCGGTGTTTTTGCTCAGAGAAACGACGTACCGTCCTCACCAAACGTCACCAATCGAGTAAATAGTCGTGCCCAGGAAACTAATCGGAATCGGAATCGGAAGGTGCAGGTTAATGGTGATTTGAGAAGAAGAAGCAGCAGCAGCAGCTCGCACCCCAATTTGAGGCAGAAACCATTACGGGAAAACGGTGATAATAACCATTCACGACAGATAGAAGGGGAAAAGAAGAATATTCACCGATCGGAACCAGTCTCCGGTGATATCCGCCACCGTTCCCGGCGGGATGACGCAAGGAAAGTGTATTCTCGAGTAGAGGGAAATATTGAAGTCGTTCGAAATGTCCCGGAGATTATGGTAGAACGTCAATCGCCGATACGAGTGCGTCCTTTTCCACCACCACCAGCTCGAGCTCCGGACCCACCAGTTTCCGGCGAGTCGAGAAGGCGGAGAACTTCCAGAAATGTAGGGCTGGATCAAACCGTCCAAGTTACAAGCCAAATCAATAGGCTACACGAAGGTTCCCACATTCCTCCGCCGGCGAATCGGGAAGCAAGAGAGGCTAAGAAGGAAATTGCGCCGACGATAGATTCATTGAATGATGAGAGGAAGAGAAACAGGACGGACAGACAGAAATCAAGAGATATACAGAAAACGCCACCACCGCAGTCCACCGTTCAACCTTCAACTCTACCGTCGCAAACGAAATCGGAACATCTCCGCCGACGTCTGGCGAGCACACACAAACCGCCTCTACCAAAAAGAGAAAACAATTACCATGACCGTGACGATTTCCTTTCCAGCAGCTCACAGTCGTCGTCAATTCCATTCCCACCCCCTCCACCGCCGTTCAGGTTGCCGCCAAGGAAATTCGAACTCCGTGGGCATTATGTTAAGCTACGGAGCGTCTGTAGTTCCAATTTTAGTTCACCAGGTCGTGATGATCTCCGGTCAACTATAATCGACGGTGGAGATTCATTTGGGCCCAGCCCAATATCTTCCCGTAGCTCAGATGTGAACGCCAAGGCTGATCGTTTCATATCCAGGATTAAAGAGAAATGGAGAACCGAAAAGAAAGGAAAGAAAGAAAGTGGGCCCAACCTCATAAACAAGCCCAAAATAAAACTATTTATTTAATACCTAAAATTCCATTTTTACCCTCAACAAGAATACCAAGTAAATTTTAAAAGATAATAGAAACCAAGTCCATAACATAAAAAAAACATGTTATAATGTAAACAACAAAAAACAACACATGATTTTACCATTTTGTTCTTGTTTTACAATTGTATTATAGTTAAACAGTAAACTAAACTAATATTGACTATTGATCAAGAAAATGGATGGATTAGATTGGTTTACATGGTTTACACAAATGGAGGCGGTTTTCATTTGATCGCTCCTCTACATATATGTATATATATATATATATATATATGGGGGGCCTCCGTTCGTCGTCCTCCGGTGATACCACAATGGTATCACAATGCATCATATATGTGCTTGGGTATCACACTGAGGTCGTTTGTGTAATCGATCGGAGATGTAACACAATGGTACCACAATGCATCTTAAATATCCTTCTTTTAACAAACAATCTCATCCTCAATAACATCTAAAATTCCACCAACAATTAAAGATTTGATACTTGACTTTAATTTAAAGATTTTAGATTTGAAAAAAATATTAGGGCTTGATATTTTTTAGAATGAAATTGTTTTAATTTGGGTTTGATAGGACTTGGTAAATTGTTTTTATTTAAAAAAAAACTTTGAATTGATATTTTTTAATTATTCAAAGTCAAATATTCAACATTTCTATCAAACAAATGCTTTAATCTATACTATCTTATAAAACATTTGGTTAAAACTCTTAAAAACTCTTAAAACTCTTAAACTCGTTCATCCCTATCCGATTTCATTCCATAACTGAATTCGTATAACTAACTGCAGATAAACACAATCAAATACATGATAAACATCTCATTTTAAATATAAAAAATCTAAAATATAATTAGTATAATCATTAAATTCTAACAGAATACTTAATTATTATCTTTATAAAATTTATAATATTAAACCAAAAATAAATTATTTTATTATTAAACTTAAATTAAATTATATAAAAAAATATATATATTCTATATTATAAATCTTTTGACAAAAACTCTTAAAAACCGCTTTTCACGCGTAAAGTACTGTTTATTAATGCATATTATTTAAAACTCAAGATTACAAGTAAATTGTGCGTATGTACAACTTATTAAAGCTCCATATCCGAATTCGTGTAACTAACTGCAGATAAACACAATCAAATACAAGATAAACATCTCATTTTAAATATAAAAAATCTAAAATATAATTAGTATAATAATTGAGTTCTAACAGAATACTTAATTATTATCTTTATAAAATGTTATATTTTTAAAACAAAAATAAATTATTTCATTATTAAACTTAAATTAAATTATAAAAAAAATCTATACTATATTATAAAGCATTTGCCAAAACTCTTAAAAAATACTTTTTATGCGTAAAGTACAGTTTATTAATGCATATTACTTAAAACTCAAGATTACAAGTAAATTGTGCGTAAGTACAACTTATTAAAGCTCCATATCTGAATTCGTGTAACTAATTGCAGATAAACATAATCAAATACAAGATAAAAAATCTTATTTTAAATAATAAAAATCTAAAATATAATTAGGATAATCATTGAGTTCTAACA